CTCTCCAAGTGGCTGAAACAGCCATAGCTCCACTGCTCTGAAGCCAAGAGCCAGGAGATTCTTCCAGTCTCCCACAGGGGTCCAGGGGTCCAGGTGCCCAAGGACCTGGGCCATCCTCCACTGCTTTCCGAGGACACAGAAGAGGGCTGGATTGGAAGAGGAGCAGCCAGGACTAGAACTGGTGCCCATATGGGATGCTGGCACCATAGGCGGGGGATTAACTTACTGCACTACTGCGCTGACCCCTTTATCAACACTTTTACAATCAGAAGAATCTGATATTCCCAGGTATTCTCAATTGGTACAAACTATCATCTGACTTAATCAAATCGAAATGCACAATGAAACTGCTGTGTGCCCAAGAGTACATTTGATTTTCAGTTCTCACACAAGTAAGCTTGAGGTTAGGATGGGAAGAATGATTGGCCTTTACAAAGGTTTTACTTTTAACACAAGGTGGAAGGAATCCAGAGGGGATGAATCATTTAAGGCTTTATTGCCAGACTTAGTCCCCCTCTAAAACTCATGTGAACATTTCATCCAAATTTGGAGAAATCAGTGAGTGGGAATTGGTGGGATGCTATAAGAAGTGATTAGGCTAAATCCATTCACGTGATTATTGAGGTACTGGAATACCCCCAGGTGTGAGCTATAGAAGCTACTTTGTATTTATCTCTCCTGTACTTCCATTATTTGGTCATATGGACTCTGAGCCACCCCAAGCCTCTACCTACCAGAGGACCATCACCTGATATGCCTTCCAACCTTGGACCCAAACCATGAGACAAATACCATTTCTTTCTAAATTACTGAGCCTGTATTATTCTATTATTAGCAACAAGAAAACTGACTCAGATCCTAGAATGAGCTGTGTGGACAGGACTGAACTGTAAACTTGTGACCTGGTTTCTCAACTTAAGGAAATCAGATCATATTTGGAAGTTCAATTCTCCATGGGGATTCTGTTATCACCATCAATTTGGAAGGCTAAGAGGCCCCAGGATTCACATAAATCCATTTCATTTAGAGACAGCACAGGACACCAGGGTCCTGGCTACTGGCCCAGCTCACATCTTGTGGGCCACAGGCTACTGGTCTGTGACACTCACCCCTTTCTGGCTTCCAAGAAGACCCAGCCTCCTCCTGCAGGCTCCTGTGGTAAGGGGAGTTCACAGAACAGCAATAGTTGAAAAACCTGAGGTCTTTCTCAGGAACAAACCCAGAAATCCTAGTATTGGGATGCCAGAAAAGAAGACCCAGTGTGGTTCAGCAGTGTTGCCCTACAGCACCTGATTTTAATGTTTGCCCTAACTGTGAACACGCATAGCATCAGAGATGATGCAGCCAATCAAAATACTCCTAGCATGAAGGCAGTAGCTTGGGGTTGTGGCAGGTGGGGGAAGAGAGGAGCTCTGTTTGGTCTCAGGTCTGAAACTGCCTCCTCTTTGCAGCTTGACCCTCCCAACAGCAGGGGCTGCTGTCAGCTCTCTGATGATCATAATACCAGTGCTCTCCCTCCCTCCTTTATCCAGGACTCTGTAAAAATCATGTGACCCATGGACTTTCAATAATCTTCTTCTCTTAACAAGGTGCTGAATCTTCATGGTATTCTGGGACTTTTCTTACATTATTTATGTTCTTGGCTTGAGTTCATTTGACTCAAAAGATATTAATTCCAGGATTATTTTAAGATACAACAAAGAACATAATTTGACTTCTCTTTCCTTCTTTCTCTTACAGATATTCACTTGATCTGTATTCTGTAATTTAATATTGTTGTCTGTTTCATTCTTACTGATATGAAATGACAAACTGGATTTATATATTGCTCTTATACACAATATTCTTTTTTAATTCTCATGACAGTTTTTATTTGTTTTGGATTTTATTGGATTATTTTTGTGTAGAATAGTTTCACTAACATATATTGACAGGTTTGATTATTTAATGCATATCTTTATACATAAAATTTTCTTTCTGTTATTTGAGCTTCCTAACTGCTCATCAGGGCATTGCTGAAGACAGAAAGTGAAAGGAGAGAGTTTTGTACAGGTTTGCTTCAGGGATAAAAATCTTTCAGTGTTATATGTTAATTATGCTGATTATAGGCCAGCGCCGCAGTTCAATAGGCTAATCCTCTGCCTGCGGCACCAGCACCCCAGGTTCTAGTTCCAGTTGGGGCGCCGGATTCTATCCCGGTTGCTCCTCTTCCAGTCCAGCTCTCTACTGTGGCCCGGGAGTACAGTGGAGGATGGCCCAAGTGCTTGGTCCCTGCACCCACATGGGAGATCAGGAAAAGCACCTGCTCCCTGGCTTCGGATCAGCATGGTGCACCAGCCACAGTGCATCAGCTGCAGTGGCCATTGCGGGTGAACCAATGCAAAAGGAAGACTTTTCTCTCTGTCTCTCTCTCACTGTCCACTCTGCCTGTTGAAAAAAAAGTTATGCAGATTATAGGTTCATTGTGGACCACCTTAGTTATAAAAATAGTAGCTATTTTTTACTGTTTTAGTCACAGTTTATTTTTTCTGATAAGATTCAGAATTTTATTCAGAATTTTCAATTTGTATTTTCCAGAATTCATTTCATTTTAAATGCAGATAGACAACTAGATACACATAGAGTGAGATAGGAGATACTCCTCCATTTCATTTCCCAAATGGCCCCAAAGCCAGGTCTAGACGTGAGTGAGTCCAGCAGCCAAGAACTCCACACAGTTCTCCCACATAGGTCACCAGGGTTGATGTTTTGGGGCAATTTTTAATTTTATTCATTTATTAAAAAGTCAGTATTACAGAGAGAGGAGGGAGAGGGAAACTTCCATCTGCTGGTTCACTCCCCAAGTGTCCAAAATGTCCAGGATTAGACCAGGCCAAAGCCAGGAGCTTCTTCTGGGTTTGTATTCCTGAGATAAATCATTGATAATTTCAAAAACAGGCAAAGATATGATAGGAAGGCATTTGATGCAATCAAACTACATTTTCATTGTGAAAATGCAGTTATTTTTTAGAAACAATAATGAAGAGAAAAAAGTTCTGAGTAATTTGGTGGAAAGCAATCCCTTATGATTATTTTGTCATTGGAAATAAAAGATAAATAAAGCAAAGATTATGCCAATTGACAAGATAATGTTATGGAAAAGATTCATGTTACAAAAGCTGCATTTTCAAATTCAACATTAATGTACAGAATATAAAAAATAAAATAAGATAAAAGTTAATGTATAATCTTGGAGATCTCCAGAATAGCAAAAAAAAGGGAAATAAATACAGGCAAAAGGTGTTGTGGAGAAATCAGAATAGAATGGGAAAGCTGTGAGCGCACCATATAGCAGTTTGATACCGATGACCTCACAATTAATAAGCAAAGCAAGATGCCTGAGGAAGCATTGCCTTTATATGAGATATTAGTGCTATACATATTTGATAGCCATTAATTCAAAGGTAAGGAACAAATACAAAATAGATAGTAATGGCAAAATTGAAATCATATTGTGACTGCAGTGGGTAAAACTGGCATTTGATTGGAACAATAATAAAATGAAAAAGGATAATGGATTTTGAAGAAAAATAGCGCATCTCAGTTACATTAAAGTAGAAAATTTAAAATTTACAAAAGAACACAAGTAAAGGAAATGCCATACTAATTCTCAGGATAACAATAAAATAAAAACACACGACTCAAAAGAAAAACTTGTCAATATATCATGAAAAAGAAAGGCTCAGAAGTCAAGAAACAGCCACTGAATTGTAAGTGACCTGAAGTAGGCTGCTGCAACCTCCAGGAAGGATCCTCTCAGGAGCACAGACCCAGGAAGGAGAAGGGAGCCCAGCAGGTGGCAGGACCAGCGGGTGAAAATATCTCCCATAGCTGTGAGGGTGGTGTCCTGGAGGACCCAGCTTGGAAACTGAACTCAGGACTCAACCCTGCTTTTCCCACCTGTCCTGCCCTGAAAGTACATGTCTGCCCTAAGGAGGATGCTGATTGGCTGTGTTCTTTATGACATTGTGCTTGCTCACAGCTATCCAAACTGTCCAATCAGGGGCGATTGCGTAAGCAATACAAAATCACTCAGGATGTCGCTGCCTGAGTAATCTTCCAGTCTTGGCTGAGAAGAGAGGTTCAGGGAGGAAGTTCCGTGGCTGGAAAACTCCAGAGGTAACCAGTGTCTGCTGTTTTCTGATCTCCCTTCACTGCAGGACACCTGGCAATGGTGAGTCTGGGGGACAGGGAGTGTGTGAAGGGGGAAGGCAAAGTTGGCAGAAGTTGATGGAAAAGTCTCACAGGACTTGCGGAGCTCCCAGAGGTGGTGTCTGGGCCCCCTCTCACTGCTGTTTCCTCACTTCCTTTGCCCTGCTCTGGTCTGCAGTGTCAGGGCTGACTGGCACTCAGGACTCCAGACTTCCTGTGCTTCCTCACAGAGAAGTAGCCCAGGAGCCATCTCTAGGCAACTGTGTGTGGTGGTCACTTAGCTTCCCAGATTGTGCAGTGGGAAGAATCCGGGTTGGCGGTGGGAGGCGAGGAGCTGTTCTTTATGGGGTCCTTGGTTCCTTTTTTCTTCCCAGGGTTTTCCTTATTCCCCCAAGGTTTCTGATTATGTCAGAAGCAGCGTCTCAGTTCTCAGACCTTGACCTCTCAGCGTAGCTCTTTCTGGGGGTCTGACTCCATTTTCTGTTGCCAATAACAGTGTTAGAGACTAGGCAAATAAACAACAAAGCAGTTTATTAGGATCCAGCTTTCTGGTACAGGTCTTAGGGTGACAGGAGGTCTCTGTCATTTGGTACTAGGATGTCATATTGGTCCTTACACATTTCCTTGACAGGCTGTCATCTGTCTTTGAACTTTCTAAATAGGAAGTTTAGTCACATTTTAACGGTTTTAAAAATTATTTCTGTTCTATAACCTTCCCAATCCCAAAGAAATAAGATATAACTTAGATTCCCAAGTTATATTTTAACATAGGTTAATTTTCAAAATTATTAGAGTATAATTGACACAATTTGTATATTTTCTCTTTTTTTTATCCGTTTAAATACAAGCAGAGTAAAATCACATTTTTCTCAGGCAACAGTAGCAGTTCAGTAGGTGAGCGTGTGATCACATTGTATTAGTATCACATGCAAGCAGCCCTAGTGCCCTGGCCGCGCCCGCCTACAAAGTCCTCGCGCAGGTGCCCTCGGGCCTGCGGGGCCGCAGTGGCCAGCATCTGCGGCCTTCCGGGGCTGCCGCTGGCCTGCTCGAAGGGCTGCGGGGGGCTCTGGCCGGCGGCCGGCAGCGGCTCCGGTGCGGCACCTCCTGGATGACTGAGCCGGCCCCGTTCACCTCTTCGTCGGCGTCGGCCAGGTCGACATTCACGGCGTCGGTCCTCAGAGCCATGATGCTGGGGCCATCGCTGCTTGAACAGCTGGGCTGCGGCGGCCGGGAACTCGGGGTCCAGGGGCACGCTGCCCACCGCGGAGCCCATGACCGAGCGGTACATCTCCACGCCCTCCGGCAGCATGGACTTGATCTTGGGCAGCCAGCGCTTGCACAAGCACCAGGCGTTGGTGCACATGTCCGCAGCGATCATGTTCATCTTGCTCTCCTTGAAGCTGGGGGCGAAGTTCTGACAGTAAGTTTCACAGCGTTCAGGACTCGGCTGTCCAGCAGCTTGCAACTGGGGTCGCTGGTGGACGAATGGATGCCTGTGCCACAGCTGTTGGCCAGCGTGTTCCTGTCGAAGAAGGTGGCCAGGAGCCTGCGCAGCAGGACCTTGTGCTTCACCCCCGCGCACGGGTGGCAGTTCATGAGCTGGCCACGCGTGATGTACACCCCGGAGCCTGCCACTAGCTCCAGCTTCTCGCCAGGGTCACCCTCTGAGTAGAGCTTGGGGTGGCAGCAGTACCCAATCTGGCTGATGAGGCTGGTGGGCAGTGCCACGAGGTCACAGGAGATAAGGACACAGGAGCAGCTCTCCAGCGGCACCGGCTCCGGCTTCTTGGGCACTGCGTAGCTGCCCGTGGCCTTGATGTACACCTGGCTGTACTGCTCGTCCACCATTGTAGGCCTCGTCGACCTCCTCATCCTCCTCATTGTGGTATGAGGTGGGGCTGTCGGTGGTGGGCAGGCTGCTGGCCCCCGGACTGGTCCGCTCCCCTTGGGGGTATGGCGCCTGCAGGACTCCGGGGATGAGGGTGGCCAGGCTTGGCACCCTGTAGTAGGAGACCCCAGAGCAGCTTCAAGGGGGCGGCACCGGCCACCAGCGCAGTGCCGGCCACCACCGCCACGCCGTCCCGTGGCCCCACCTCCAGCGGGCGCTTGGGAGCCAGGCCCGGGCCAGCAGCTGGCGGCAGCTCCATGGCTTCGAGCTTCACACGGGTCAGCAGCGGGATGGGCACGGAGGGGGACACGACATAGGGGTCGGCTGCAGCTGGGTGCAGGGGCTCTGGGGCTCGGAGCTGGCGTCCTCCATCGCGGTTGTCTGGGAGTCACAATGGGGCGAGCTCACCTTGAACATGAGGTCGGTGCCGCGCTCCACGATGTGCTGGATCTGCAGGAAGTTGGCCGTGTACATGACCACCAGCTGCTCACTGGCCCCCATGGTCAGCTTGCCCGTGTAGCAGGACAGGATCTGCTGGAAGCAAGCGGGCAGCACGGTGCCCAGCAGCTCGAAGGCACTCTTGCTGTTGCCGCTGAACAGGTCGCAGAAGTAGAGGCTGCTGGCCGCCAGCACAGCCCGGTGAGCCTTGAAGGCCTGGCCCTTAACCACGATGGACACATCGCAGTAGAGGCACAGCAGGCGCTGCTCGTTCAGGCAGCCGAGCACGGTGTTGCCGAAGTTGGGGATCTCAATGTGCAGCATCTGAGACATGGTGGGTGGGCGCCAGCGGCGGCCCTCACTCTCTCAGCGCCCGGCGGCCCTGGCGGGGCACATCTTCAGTGGCTGCGGCCAGCGGCCTGTGGCTGCCCGCTCAGCCCGGCAGGGCAGGCTCCCCGCACACGCCCTCCCGCTGCTCCGGGAATGCAGGAAAGGGAGCAGGAGCCCTGGGGTGGGGAGGGCTGGAGGAGGAGGAGGAGGAGGAGGAGGCGGTGGTGGCGGCAGGACCCTGGGTGCTGGGCTCCGTGGCCATGGCTCAACTGCACCCAGGCCGGCACTCCCGGGCAGTGCGCCGCATCTCAATGATGTGGCCGGATGCAGACGCACAGCCAGGCGGCTCCCAGGAGTGAATAGCAGCCTTTGATTTGGGAGCCGAAGTAAATGCCAACTCCCAGCCCCAGCTTTCAAAACAGTGGAGTGTTGGTGCCAGAGAAATGCGTGGCTCTGGGTGTTGGTACAAGACAGACTTCTGATGACTCACGGCAATGCAAACAAAGATGGCAGAAGCACGGCTGTGCGTGCTGGCTCACAGTGCCCGGCAGCCGAGACAGCCTGCAAATCTACCTTGCACTTCTGCATGTGGATTACCCCGTGCATGCCTCCCTCAGCCAGGACAGCCCCAGTCAAAGCATCTGGGCTATTCCAAACAGTCTGCAGGGCTGGGGCAGCGGGAGGCAGGGCGGAAGGCGGAGGGGCCAGGGTCCGGTCAGGGGTCCCGGGCACTGGGGGGGGAGGGGCAGCCGGTGAAGTTGAAATTGGACAAGACCCCCTAAAATTTACCCTGAAATGTGGCCCTTTAAAGTTCCCTCGAAATGTTATCTGGGGTGCCACATGCGCTACTGGAATTTGGGGTGCCTTACGATTTCACCACGGGCTTATTACTAAATCCCTGATATTAATAAGCCCAAGAGGGTTCTTGCCTCATATTTAGAGAAGAATTCTAAATACCGGCACAGATAAACGAGGCAGCATGGTACGTTTTAAGCTTTTATTTAGTAAGAAAGGTGCATAAGAGAGTGAGAGCTTTATTTAGGGGAGAGAGGTGAATAGGGGTTCATACCAAGCACCAGGAACCAGCCACGTGTATGAGCATCTAGTCCAGGAAGCCTAGGGGCCATGTGCTCTGGAGGCGCAGGGCTACAGCAAGCCCTGTCCTGGCAAGAGGCCAGGGAAGAAGAGCAGGGCAGAGCCTCGAGCACACTGTGCCCCAGGCTTTTAACCCACTCCAAAGGGGAGTGGTTAATTAACCTGATTGGCTGGTAGGCACCCCGGTGTGGCTAGGTAGGGGAGTGAGGCCACACCGGGGCGTTGCAAAGGCATCAGGTAGGAGCATGAGGTCACACAGGGGCGTGGTCTTCCAGTTCACAAATCTGACCAATTTTAACCTGTATGCCTGCCTACTTTCAAAGTTGGGGAGCACGCACAGCCGGGGGGGGGAGGGGAGCAGGCAGGGACAGTACTGGGCCGGGGCATCCGGCCCCTCCCCGCTCCGCAGGGCTCAGACCAGGACCAGGACCTGCTCTGTGCAAAGAGCTACCTGGCGGCCAGAGTCCTTCCCAGGAGAGCCCCGCTCTGGGCTCCTTCCACAAAGTGCTGGGGTGTCCAGCCCCAGTTCCCCACCTGCCACTCCTGGAGTGCACACCCCACACCCAAGGGGCAAGGTCTTTTGCTCTCTCCAACCTGAGCTCCTGCTGCCTGACCCCCATGGAGTGACACAAGCCAGGAGGCCTGGCAGGAGGCGGCAGCACCCACAGGAAAAGACAAGAAGGCACTGGGCCAGGAGCAGGCTGCGCGGGCCTGGGGCTAGGGCCTTCCCAGGAATGGCCCTCACTGGGCTGTGTGCCGCCCTCCCGGGAGCAGGCCCTGGGTCCCCTCCCCCAACCTTGCAGCTCCCTCCAGGGCTCCAGCTCTGCCGAGTGCCTGGTGCTGGCCAGGAGGGGAGGAGCCCCCAGGACGGTGCCCACGCAGGAACTCCCGGAAGGCAGAGAGCTCAGCCTAGGCCAGGAGGAGGGGTTGCCTAGACTGGGGCAGCGTGCTGCCCAGCCAGGTCCGACCCACAGCCAGGTGACCCCGTTCAGCACCTGAGCCTTCCCTCCCACCAGAGCCTGGGCCCTGGCCCATGGACCACGTTGAAATCCTGGGTCCTGCAGGTGCCACCTCACACACCGGCCGCTTCCTGGAACGACTCCATGGCCTGAGTCGCTGACCTGTGCCCAGGGAAGCAGGGAGCCTGGCCTTCCTCAGAGGGCCCCTGGGGCAGAGCGAGATACGTGTGAAACCCGCGGCTGCAGCTGGCACGGCCGCAGCTGGCATGACCGGAGCAGGCGAGGCTGGTGACCCGAGCCCTCAGCGGCAGCCGTGCCCAGGGCTGGGGCCAGCGGCACTCACCCATGGAGGGGCTAAGTGGCCCTGCGGACTGAGGACAACAGCCTTGCTGCCACCCTGTCCTCAGGACACCTGTGCCGGACACGGCTGGTGTCGGATTCTGTTCTTAGAAGCTCGCCCAGGGCAGGAACAAAAATGGGCTTCAGGGTGGAAGAAAGGCTTGGCTGTGACCGAAAGCATGGTGGGCCAAGGGCCGGGGCCAGGGCAGCAGAGGTGGGGAGGGGCCAGCGGCCCAGCGCTCTGGACACTGTCCCCGCCCCCGCCCACCACACCCTCCAGTGACTCCGTTTCCCCTCCACAGCGAGCTCGGCCATGCCCCCACCCCATCTGGCCACCAGGCCCCTGCACTGAGGACCCTCCCCTCAGAAGGCTGAAGCCCCAGCCCACCCAACCCTCACAGGAGCACGGGTGGAGATGGGGGGAGCGCACTGCAGGGGCAGCGGCAGGACCTGGAGAGGGGCCCCTGCCACCCAAGCAGGTTCCCAGGATCAAATCAGCACACGGACTCCCTCCCCAGCTGGGGCTGGGCCAGAGCCGGCCACCAAGTGCTCCAGGGGCGCCGGGGCCCTCCCACCAGGCACCAAGGGGGCAGGGGCTCTCACAGGTCCAAGGTCACCCCAGGGACCCCAGGCTGGCAGCTGGACAAGGCGGGGCTCCCCTCGCAGGCCCCAGCCCTGCCTGAGCTCCCCCACCCAAAACCCACACAGGCAGCAGATTCCATGGCACGTCTCACGGCACCGAGCCACAGGCCGAGTTCCACCCGCACATGGTCACTTCCAGCAAGAGAAAGGAGGCGAGAGAAATTAAATTACATTATTCTGCAGGATTTAATTTTTTCAATCTAATAAGAGGTGGACTTCAGCGAACCTGCTGAGGCAGAGGCAGGGGCAGAGACATCCTATGGGAGGGCAGGGCTTCCCTCCAGGCCCCACCGGGCCGCCCCAATTGGAAGGCCCTGACACCTCCCGCAGAGGCAGGGCGGGCCATGGGCACCTGCTGAAATGTCAATCAAAGGCACTCAGAGCTGGTGGCCAAGACGTCCCCAGGGACAGGGTGGCAGCAGAGGCCGTGGGAAAGTCCCTGGGAGCCGGCAGGGTGCCGGTGAGTGGTGAGCCTGGTTCTGGGGGGGGTGCAGTCACACACAGCACAGGCACCAGCAGGACACAGCAGGAGCAGGGGCCTGGGATTAACCCTTCCAGGACCCAGGCCGTGGGCTCAGGTAGGCAAGCCCAGGCCCCTGGGGAGCTGGATGAGGCCCCAAGGTTTGCAAGAGACCCAAGCTGTGCAGCAGAAGCAAGTGGGCCAGGACAGGGCCCAGGGGCCTGGTCACCACCCCCGCCCCAGCATCCAGTCCTGGGACAAGGAGGGGCAGCCTGGGTCATGGCCTTTACACTTGACCCTAATGTGGGGAGGAGGGGTGCACACAGCACATCCCCCAGGCCTCAGGGTCACATGGGTGCACAAGGGTCTCCAGCCTAGAGAGCCCCGGGACCAGAAGGCCCTCGGTGCAGCCAGGCCCTGGGCAGCCTCTGCCCAGACCACAAGCCTGGCCCAGCCTCAACGACAGAAGCTGCTCTGCCTCACTGGCAAATGTCTGCTGGAAGCTCTCTTTCTGAGGAAGGGCACAGCTCCGGGAGATTTGAATCCAGAAACTCGCTCATCAGTCCTTTCCCGCTCCCGGCCTGGACAGCGAGCTCGGCCCCAGATCTCAGTGGCCAGGGCGCAGCAGGGGCGGGGCAGGACCTTGGCTCCCTGGCTGTGGGGCTGGCTCTGGTGACCCCAGGGAGCCACAGGGCAGGGCCGCCAGCCATCACCTCCTGCTCTTCACCCTCAGGACACCCCGACCTTCACACAGGTGGGAGTTTGAGGGCCAAACTAAACACCCTACACAGAAAGAAATGGCAGCAGGGCCAGGCTGTGGCACAGGTGAAACTGCCGCCTGTGGCCCCAGCATCCAACACAGACGCTGGTTCCAGTTCCGGACGCTCCACTCCCAATCCAGCTCCCTGCTGATGCACCTGGGAAAATGCACCTGCTACCTCGTCCCATCTGGAACAGCCCAGGGGCTTGGGGCCCACACCCCCAGTGTGGGAGACCCAGAAGACGCTCCTGGCTATGGCCTGGCCCAGTTCCAGCCCTTGTGGCCATTTGGGGAGTGAACCAGCAGAGGGACGACCTCTCTGTCTCTCCCTCTCTCATCTCTGCCTTTCTAATAAATAAATAAATCTCAAAAAAAAAAAAAAGGAAGAGAAACAGCAGCAGAGGGGCAACAGCAGGAAGGGCCCTGCCCCACCCCAGCAGCATCTGCAAAGCTCCCATGAGCCTCCAAGGGTTCCAGAAGGTTCCCAAAGAATTAACAATCGGTGTTTTGAAAAGAGCCAACAATCTCCTCACCGCGATGTTTGTGATTTAAATAATGGAAGCTTCACCCTGACTGTTGATGAGCAACTTAATATGTTATCCCTCTTAGTATTTTTTTTGATTGGTCTACCTAATACATTTGGTTGAATACTGTAATCAATACACAATTCTTCTTAAGTGCTGAAACTTAACTGAAAAGTGATCGCTGTTAAATATAAGAGTGGGAATAAGAGAGGGAAGAGATGTGCAATTCGGGACATGCTCAAGCTGACTTACCTCAAACGGTAGAGTTAGAAACATACCAGGGGATTCCAATTCAATCCCATCAAGGTGGCATGTACCAATGCCATCTCATTAGTCCCAGTGATCAATTTCTGTTCACAATTGATCATAATGATAGGACTAAGAACCAAAGGGATCACATAAACAAGACTAGTGTCTGCA